TAGCGGCAATGAAGAATTGAGAGGTGCATCAGATGGATGTGCATAATGCATTTTTACATGGAGACTTGGAGGAGGAAATTTACATGAAAATTCCTCCAGGTTTCAACAAAAATAACTTTGATTATGTGTGCAGGATGAAAAAGTCGTTGTATGGCTTGAAACAGGCTCCTAGTTGTTGGTTTGCAAAATTGACCGAGGCTTTGAAGAAATATGGATTCAAACAGTCTCACTCTAATTATTCTCTGTTCACACTGACCAAAGAAAAACTACAGTTGAATGTGTTGATATATGTCGATGATCTAATTGTTGCAGGAAATGATAAAAATGCTTTATCAAAGTTTAAAGCATATTTAGGTAATTGTTTCAAGATGAAGGACTTGGGAGTACTGAAGTATCTCCTAGGCCTAGAGGTGGCACGGAGTAAACATGAATTTTATATTTGTCAACGGAAATATTCCCTTGACATCATTTCTGAGGCGGGACTTTTAGGAGCTAAGCCGGCGGATTTCCCGATGGAACAGAATCATAAATTGGCTCTTGCGGAAGGCAGAAGGACGTGGAGAAGTATAGGCGTTTAGTCGGGCGCCTAATCTATTTGTCTGTGAGTAGGACAAATTTGGCATATTCTATTCACATATTATCTCAGTTTATGCAGTCTCCGAAGGAAGCACATTAGGAAGCTGCACTTCATGTGGTGCGTTATTTGAAGAAAAATCTGGGACAGGCAATACTCCTTCGATCTGATAGTGCTCTGCAATTGGAGGGTGGTGTGACTCTGATTAGGCAAGTTGCCCTCTTACTAGGCGGTCATTGACAGGTTGGTTTGTGCTACTTGGTTTTTCCCCTGTGTCCTAGAAAACTAAGAAGCAACATGCGGTTTCTACATCGTCTGCGGAAGCAGAATATAGGTCAATGGCGGGCGTGACATGTGAACTAAAGTGGTTGAAATAGTTGTTAAAAGATTTGGGTGTGCAACATTCACAGGGTATGAATTTATTCAGCAATAGTCAGTCTGCTTTGTATATTGCTCAAAATCCGGTATTCCATGAGAGAACGAAACATATTGAGGTTGATATGCATTTAATGAGAGATGCAATTAAAGATGGTTTGATTTCGCCATCGTATGTTCCTACCAAAGAGCAGCTCGCGGATATTTTTACCAAGGCTTTGGGAAAGGCTCAGTTCGAGTTACTACTTGGCAAGATGGGCATTCGGGATCTTCATGCTCCACCTTGAGGGGAGATGTTAAGATATGATAGAATATTTGAGAGGATATATATTTAGGAAATATATTATCATGTATATCTTGGATATTATTTTGTATTGGGATAGAATACTTATTCCCCAAGCTAGGTAGTTTCCTACGGGAACTAGGTTGCTAAGCTTTTGTATAAATTCGGATGAACTAATGAATGAAAACTCGAGACTTGGAGATTTATTTGACAGATTTCCCTCATAGGCTGAACCGCATCTACAACTTACAGCATTATTATTGTCATGATAACATCTAAAATTGTCATAAGTCATATAGGGCTCTTTTTGAGGTATTATAATGTATTTATAAGCCCATTCTAAAACCACAGGGAATGCTTTCAGATTTGATAATTTCCGAGACAACTTCTTCACCGAGTAACTCTCAATCAAGGCTGCTGACACATTGCATTTGTGAAATTAGATAGTCCCAAGTGATCAAGAGCTATCTGATAAAAATCTAAGCCCTCCTCCCTGTCAAGGAAGTCACCTGTTGGAGATGACAAGAGAGAGGCTTGGCAACATCCAACTCCATAACAATTACTTGCGTTCATGCTTGCACCTTCATTGGCACAAACTGAAGCACAGCCAGTCATAATTTCTCCACCCCTTTTTTTGCAAAACAACACTTCCGCCACAACCCTCCACCATAAAAACATTGAACCACCTAGAATAACGGTATGGACTCCCATTGAAGTCAATGCTTTTGACTACTGAAGTTGCGATTCCATGAATTTCTGCTGCATTACTTCCACAAAAGTTTCTAGGGAGGAGATTTACTTTAAGTCTTTGATCATCTACTTCCTGATCATTCAGTTGTTTACCTAGACGGGAGTGCCTTCCAGGCCAATTAATGTCCAGCACCTCAAGATTGAAATGGCGCAACAACGGTTTTGGAGAAAGAACAGAATTATTATTATTACTTCCTCCGTTCTTTTTTTATCGCATCACTTACTACTTTAGGAAGTTTACTTATTATTGCATCATTTCCTTTTTAGAATAAAAAATATCTATGTTCACACTGCAAATACCCAACATACCCTTACTTTTTCACACTTACTTTTTATTTTATCTTACATTACATGGACAATTTTGTATTTTTACGTTTCTCTCTCTTATTTTTTCCCACTACCAAATTTTGCCTCCAAAACCCATATGATGCAATTAAAAAAAAAACGGAGGAAGTATTACAAATGATCTCGTACCATTTGTCATGGTAGCAATTGGGCCCAATTCCAAAAGGATATGGAATCAGGACATTACCACAGCGATCTGGACAATCAGGCATAGAAATATTACCGCCTGCAGCTAGCCATAGGAATGATTTCAGCTGAGCAGGAGCAACAACAGGCATAACATTTTTTTTCTTAGGAACATTTCTTAGCCCATCTGATTTGCAGTACAATAAGACTGATCTTAAGCTATCTCATACTCTATAATCAAATGGATTGGATATTTTCTAAACTGTCTAATTATCAAAGCCATGCTTCTAGGACTTTTTCAAGTCTTTTTTTTTTAATATCAAAGTCCCTATCCTAGTATCCTAGGCTTGTCTTCTAGACAATCCACATAATCTAAAATAAACTTAAGTCATATTGAAGACCGTATGACATGTCAACTACAAATAAATAATACAGGGGTGGGGGAGAAGTAATTCAAAGTTATACCGGGACAAAAGACTTACCTTTTTAGAAGATTCCCATATATTATACTATGTAATATAAAGTAACTTTTGCTAATTTGCTTTTCCATGATTAATTAACATTTACCTACTTTTTTAGCCACAAAATTCAACATTGATTGATGTATTGCATTAAAGTCAAAACTAAGCTGCTGAAGGTGGTCAAAGTTATAATTTTAAAAATGACTCTATAGTGACTGATTGATATAACCATTAACCACCAAAAATATCTTGACCCTATGTTCTGTAATTTCTACTATCTTGACCCTAAGTCTGCTCAACTGCTCATCTCATTTAGCAAACCCGAATCTGACTATGCTAAAATTAAGGTTTATATAGCCAGCTAATAATTCTAAACACAAGTCTTAAGTCCGACCTGCCGGAATCGAACAAGCGACTTAAGGATTAATCTCCTGATCAACTAAAGTCCTCCGCTCTCACAACTGAGCTAAGTTCGGATCTTTTGCTTACCCTCAAATACTTCTTAAATTCACATATACTGGATATCAATTTTCAATAATTAATTGGACGAATTTTCAACAAGCATTCCAATTGACACCATAATATGCAGATTAAACCAATACATATTCAATAAACCCAAAGAACTAAAGTAAAATCTTTGTATAAATTAAAATCATAATCACAAAGTAAATTAAAAATGACAATATGATAAAATTTAAATCAATAGTTCATAATTAAATCAAAATTGAGTTAAAATTAGGGTTCGAATTTACGATAGTAATTAAAAATTTACACATTATCTCCACAAATTAAACAAAAGTGTCGATTCAAAAAAAGAGAAATAGAAAAAAAAAAATTAGGATTTACCATATATTGAAGATTTTAAACTGATGAAGGCCGCAAAAATCTTCGTTTTCTCTCTCAAATTGACACCATTAATATGGAAATAAATTAAAATAAAAAAAATGGCTTCGCCCAACCACGAAACCTCTGATATGTAATAATGTGAATTTATATTATTTTATATACTTATTTATAAAGGAAGTGCATCTTTAAATGCATCAACAATATAACAGTAAAAAAAATTGGCTTCGCCCAGGTTCGAACTGGGGACCTTCAGTGTGTTAGACTGACGTGATAACCAACTACACCACGAAACCCTGGTTGGTATTTGAGTCATGGAATAAATATAATACGAATAATATTACAATGTCATTAACTTATGTGTACTCTAGATTTTATATTTATCAATACATTATGTCTCCGTACATGAAAATAATTAAAGAAGAAAGAATACTTATTTGATTCAAAATATGTATACTCATTTTATACAAGTGATACATCACTTTCTCAGTTTCTTAATACATGCATCATTTTGACTAGACACGTTTGTCAATGTACTTCTCTAACTATTAGATTACTATATTTTCTAGACCATTATATCCACCACCTCGAGTCAAGTACACACTTTTGACATGTTTTACCATGCTTCATAGTAATATGCACCCATTCCAAAAGGAAATGGAATCAAGATGTGAACACAGTGATCTAAACATCATGGCTTTGCTATAAAGAATGAATTTTCAAACAAGGATATGAAGCCAATAAGATTGTTGCACAGAATACTATTTGGATTAGCTAAATCCAACGCAGATACAAGATAACATTTTTCGTGTTACTTGTGAAAGATCCTCCAAACCTCATCCCACTGACGAATGATTGTAAATTTGTAATCAAATCTGGTAATAAGCTCTTCCAAGCAGTGTTGTTTCTTATCTAATGCATGAACACAGCTTCCTCGCTTCAACTTAATTTGTCATAATAAGTCGAAAATTAAGGAAAAGTATTTTTATTGTCTTAACAAGTTCAACTCTTGCAATATAGACTGCTTTAGAAAGCTTCACATCTGCAACACAGCCTTTTGCTATTTCTGGAAATGACTATTTAACATGTAAATATGCAAACAAAATGGATTGTGCTGACTTTGCAAATATTATAACATTGATGCATATAGTTGTGCTTTTTTACATCAGAATTGATGTAAATGTGATTATGAAGGGGCATGCTGCATATCTAATCGTTGATCAACCAAAAAATTAACGAGATCTTATAAATGAAGCATAAAGCTAGCTTTATTCAATCAAAGAATGTAGTGTTACATGGGATGCTACAAGAAAGAATCTGAATTGTAGAATTATTACCTGACATTACAACACACACTACGAAGAAATGAATCATATTTTGCAACTTAGACTATAACTTAACTATAACATACAACTCCCAAGACTTTAAGTCTTCGAAGGAAAAGGAGTCGCTAACAGAGTTTGTGATATACAATTTTCAGTATGTTTCAGTAATAATTAGTGGTGTACAAAATTGGTCATCCCATAGATCTACGTCGATCACATTTCAATATCATCAAGATCAGGGAGAGGGAAGCGAAGAATTGCTGCAATGCCAGTCAGCTGTGCCAATTCTGCATCCACAGGGCATTATAAATAGCGTCATTGGATAGCTAGGGAGATAAATAGAAAGACATAGAACGCGAAAAAAAGGACCTTTCTTTGTTCACTTTATACATTCAAACTTTCTTTTCTTTTTGTAATTTTTTTTCATTAATCTGACTTTCTTTTCTTTTGTAATTTTTTTTCATTAATCTCCCTGAACATCTAAAAGATCTATTAATCAGCTATCTTAACCATTCATGATTCAAGAAGCAAGCACCAAATCATTTAGCATTCCATAAATCAATGCAGTTGACTCATTAAGGCAGAGTAGGGAGAACAAGAACATGAACATGCCAAAGGTAAAGATTGGAAGAAAAGAGAGGTATATGGAATATGAGCCAGAAGAAGTTTCCTTAGAAGAAAATAGTTTTATAATCCTTATTCAGCCAAACAAAATCAAGAAAATTGAAGTATCTTTCACTTTACCACTCGTGGAAGTAAGACTAAACATGCCTTTGATTAACAGTATGGGATGAAATCTACACATCCTACATTGTTTTCAAATTTTCGTGAGTGGGATATCTTCCATAGTCCCATAATTCCACCAAAGATATATTAATTCCATATGTTTAGATGCCACATTCCTATGCAATCAGCACACTGTTCATATCCGACTAACAATCGCAGTTGACCTGATAAAGTCAAACTGACAATATGCATCCTATATTTGCAAAAAAGATGTAGCTTCAAAATGTTTATAGCACTGGACAGAAGTACTTACGCTCCCCTGAGACATGCATGGATGAGAATATATGAACACTTCCTCCAGAATCTTTGACTGAATTGACCAGGTTGACATATTTTTTCCGTGTTGCAATGTCAGCATTCCTGATGACCATTTCAAAATAATAAGAAAAACTGTATAGCTACAGAGTAACATGTAAAAAGAATAATCACATGAACATTGGCCCAAGGAAGTGAACATACCAACACAATCATAAATAAAAATTGTTAGGATAAAGAGGTATGGATTACATGAAACATAGAGCCTCCATTGCACATACAGCTAACTGCAGAGTTGAAGCTTAACATACAAGACAGTGTTGTAGAAGAAGCAAGGAGAGCCTTTGAGGTACAAGCTTTAACCATTTGATATTGAGATCTATTTCTAGAATACTTCTGATTTCTAAGATCACTTTATACTGGGTTTCGAAACTAAACATCTCGTCAGGAGAATCAATGGGAACAAACAGTCAAGATCCAATGTACATCAGTTTTATGTCCGATGTAAGGAATTCCGGAGAGGCAATTGTTCGGGGGGCACATATATATATGAAGATATTCATTAACAGAATTTTGCATTATTTGTTACAAGTATGAGATGCATAGAAATGTCCCTTAATAATGAAGCATGAGATTTATGTGTTCTTAAGTCACATGTTACAAGATGCATAAATATAGATATCCACCCAAAAAAAAAAAAAAAGATAAACTACAGCAGAGCCAAGAAATGCAACAGGATCCTCAAATAAATTTATTACTAGACAAAGCTCGAGAAAGGCACCTGAACTGTTCGTCTGTGATAAGAAGTGTTTGTATAGCCATTCGCTCATGGGCAACTTCTACATGCTTAGGACCATAGCATGCACGATCTGGATCCTACAGTTCATAAAAAAAATCCCTTCAACATGGTTCATATACAGAACAAAAACCTAGCAATAAGCAGACTGTAACAATGTCAAAGCCTTAATCCCAATTCCCAATAGGAGGTCCATAGACAAGAAATACAAAGCGAAGAACATTAGATCAAGCAAAGAGCCCTATCTCTATATAATAAATAGTTACAAATGCTGCCTACTTTAAAAAACAAGGTCCTAATATCCAAATGCAAGAAATTTAAACTACTATGCCAACAGCTAGATGATGCAATCAGATTACATTTCGGCCCCATTCCCTCTTACATACAAATTCAGCTGCAATAGTAAGAATTTCATCAATACATAAGGTCAACATTTCTATCAAATGGTCCATTAAACACCTACCCCCCCCCCCTCCCCTTCTTCTCTCAACTCTTCCTACCCCAAGAGATCACAATTTATTTAGTTGCAACCAAACACTCGAGCCCATATATGAATGCATCTTTTTTAAAAAAATAAATAAATAAAAATTTAAAAAAAAATTTAAAAAGAAAAGGGAGAGGTCAAAGGAAGAAAAGATTTTGGCCCTCCCACTGTGAGAGCATAGTTTTATGTGCTCTACTTACAAAGAGCTACAAAAAATCAATAACTAAAATGCCTTTATTTCCCGGTAGGAGGATATGGTAAACTACTTCCAGGAAAGATTGTATCAGGAAGAGCAGCAAATGCTAAACGAACAGTACATAATAACTCATAAGCATTCAGGAAAGATTGTATCAAAAAGAACAGCAAATGCTTAAAGAACAGTCCACATTAAAACGCATAAATGTTTCAAAATGTCATGCCATATGGCATCTAAATGTCTTAGACAAACCATTGATGACGTCACACATTAACTGCACATGCATCTCAGTAACAAGCATATTGTTAGCAATTCAAACATACATCTCAAGATTAGAAACTGACATTTGATAGCATACTGAAAAAGTCCTCAAGAGCACGGACCTAAATCAAACAAAATAGACAACAGTCAGTAGAAACTTCAAGGATCTCCGAGAAAAAATGAAAAGCAAGACAAAATGATAAAAATAAATGTGAGTAACCTCTTGGGCTGCTTTTGTATCTTTTATCATATTCATCACGTTTGGCGCATCAAGAACCTCCCTCAAGCTATGCCTGATTATAAGAGAAAGCAGCAAATATATCAAATATAATTCCAACCAATTCATGAAGAAAATACAAAATATACTTCTTAAAGAAACAAGAGTAAAGACTAAAGAGCCCCAGACACAAAACACCAAACAGGCAGTAAGAGAGCTAACAAAATTTTAACACAAGTTGTGCTGGTACAAACTCAAAACTCCTTAAGATGCTTAAAAAGCAGAAGTGGCTATAATTTTCTGAGATGATAAACTATCAACTGCTTAAACATAAAGCAGAAATTCTGCAAGCAGAAATATATCATCAGATAAAAGGTTCAGAACCTTCAAGATGAACAACCATTTAAATGTATCCAACCTTTCCAATGAGAAGATACATCAATTTCAATTGACAGTAAAAGCTAGAGGTATGCTTAGAAGAAAAAAACTTCTGAAGCAACATTGCTTCCTCAACAAACAGAAATAATCAATCAAATTAAATAACTAAATGCCATACTTGTATCCCGAAGTTGTATGCACAAGAACTATGCGTGACTTGTTCTCTATAATTGATCTCAGCTGTTTCCTTTCAGCTTCTAGCAACAGATGACGATAAAATTGGTCCTGCAGAAAAAGACAAGAACCTTCTAATCAATTTAAATTAAGAATGCCTGTGGCTGTCAACTATATATAATTATTTATCTCATGGCAACGATCCAACGACATGAGAAAAGGTAAATACAAAGTGATAAGTAGTATAAAAAAAAACAACAGCAAGACTCCCCATAAGAACCAATGTATGATCACCATATTTTAGCAGCACCAAACATCAGATAAAATAAATCTAACCTTAGTGAATCCAGGACTTGCAATGACAGCACATCGGACAACCTTAAAATCAACATATTTGAGGAAAGCCTATGCCACATGCATAAAAAAAGTCACTTCAGTCACAAGCTGAAAAATATATGATAACAGTCATCGCAATTTAGACATGAGAAGGTTTACATTCAACTAACCTGTAGTACATTCTCAAAGAATTTATTTAAGGCCTGTGAGGAGAAAGACAAGGGAAATCAAGTTAGTTATCACCTTTACAACTAAGTACCTGTACGTTGTACCTCATCAACTGCAACAATGCATGACAGCTTGTCTTAACAATAACATTTGAAACACATACAGATTCATATCCAGCAATAGCAGGTCCATGTTTTCGAGGAATGGAGACTTCTATTCGAGATCGAGTAAGGGTTACACTGTCAACACAAGTGAAAAATATACCAGTTAGATAAAATTTCTCAAGATAGAAAAGAACATATCAATATTCATGGCTTCATGAGTGCTAATTGGGGTTAAAGTACAGTTAGATAATGCAGCAAAAAGTGAATCCTGCACAAGTGAATTCTTCCCTGGCAGCTAAAGCCCCAAATAATTCATTCATGGAGTAATTGCTTTGTGCTACCACTTGGTGATCAAAAACTAAATCAATAAATAAAAAATTAAAAATTATATAAATAAAAAAATAAAAAAAAACACCAAAATCTAAAAGCGACATGTGTAATCATATACAGTGGAAAGCATCCAGAAACAAATAGCAATAATTAAAAAAAATTTAAAATACAAAATAGTCTTATCTCTTAGATCAAACATATTTGTGGTTGTATTGGGTTGACAGAGACGCAGCAAAGAAATACAATTCAGCCAATGATTAAGTGAAAACTATGTAACACAACTAATTAACTATACCTTTTACCAATCAAAAGTAAATGTGCCAGTCCCTCTTGCATTATTATCACAGCCAAATCAGCACTTGCAGAAGGATCTGAATAAAGTACATACATAAAACTAGATCACAATATGTCAAGAAGTCAGAATTAAATTGTTCTGTGACTAGAAAAGGTTCAGATAAGGAAAGGAAAAAAGAGCAGCTATATCACAGTCACGGATCCTTCCTTCTCTTGTTCTTTTTGTTCAAAACTACATTTCAAGCTATAAATCCTTCCTTACCTGATAGCTTCTGATTAGAGGCTATACCTTATACGAATGCAAATTACATAGTTTAAAGAGGAGAGACTGCTAATAACTGGCCGCTTCTGTGGCTAACTATACAATGACGGTAATCGGAATTCACTAATTCAGAATAATGAACGAACAAAAAATGTTGATAGAATAATCAAGTAACCCATTTACATCTCAAATCATCAAAAGTGGAGCAAACTAGGCATAGACAGCTTAAATTATGCTAGCACAACATAGCATGCAAACTAGTAAAAACACCGATGTCTGAAGTGCCAAAAAGAAAATAGCATTCATTATTATCAATGGACCGAACAAAAGATCCAAAATAATGCACAAAACATTATTTACCTGCTGCTTGATGAAGCATATCCAATGCCAATGAGTCCCAGATATCCTATAAACAGGGAAACGCAGATGAGAGGCATATTGAGATTTCAAAATCATTCTGTCAAAGCAAATATAGATCAACAGACCACTTAACAAGTGATGCACTGCAATACCCACCACCCAAAGCAGGATATATGATTTAAGTGGCAGCATTCGCCAGACACAACTTAAAAACACTTTCCTATCCACCAAAAGTTTATTTTATGTTGAGGAGCGATGGTTTGCGCAACTTCACCACAAGTCAATAGAAATAATCAAACAATGTAAACTTCATTAATCAGTTTCTAACACTCGTTGTGGGCAAGAACTGCTCCTAATTACTTCCATGACACAAGCATTGAAACACTGATAAACCCTTTAAAATGGCAGGTATGCCACATCCCCCCCCCCCCCCCCCCCCCCAAAAAAAAAAAAAAAAAAAAAACAAAAAAAAGGAGGATTCTGCTTAAGCTGTTTTAAGAACAAGGAGTAAACGTTTCTGAGCAGATAAAAATCATAGCATACCTTCCTCAGCACGAAAGGTCGATGCAACTCAAGTTCCAGGGTATGAAAAGCACCTATCTTCAATAAAAAGCAGAAGAAATCAGCAAACTGTATATATAGAAGTAAAACATTAAAGTAAGTGTTAGACATTATTGATTAGTCCTCTTGTAGGTACCTTCACATGATCATTTTCCAGAGTGTTTTTTCCACGTATACGTAAGACAGAACCTTCTTTTTCATATTCCACAGCCTGCACATATCAAGAGAAATCAGGCCAGCATGTAAGTCAAAGAATCACTTCTTAAATTATAATGCTCAAAAGCCTCATTGGCTCAATCTTTTTTTTGTGTTTGATAGGTAATTCTCACTAGATCATCTTAATAAAAAAATAGACCCGTTTACAAAACACATAGGTTTTCCTTAAGAAGAGGCAAAGACTTTAGAGTTATGAACATAGAATTTCAAGAAATTGAACACAAAAAGGATTCCGAGCAAAATATCATAGAAGAAGCAATACCCCTCCCTCCCCCCCCCCCCCCCCCCAAAAAAAAAAAAAAAGAAAAAAGAAAAACTACAATCAAAGCAAGGACAATGTCAAATGTCAATAGATAAAAAAAGTTATCACCTCCACTACAATTTCTAGCCTAAGTTTCACACGCTCTGCGTCCCTCCCTCCAGAAGCAGCCTCTCTCAAAACTTTCCTGCAAAAGCAAACAGCAGCACCACTGTGAGAAATCATGCTTTCATAATTATCACACTACTTCCCTATTAATGCTCTATTTCAGTAGTTTCTTCGAACACAGACTTAATCAATCAACTTTGCAGGGACAACAGTAAAGGCCCTTGCAAAGTACTGTAGGATATGAGCAAATTAAGAGCAAGGCTAATAAATTATCGGGAATTAGGGAAAAAGCCAAACACTCCAAAAGTTTGACTCGGATTTCATTTTGGAAATTTGGGGTGCTTCATAAAGTTCAATTCACTTTTACTTAGTTCCACTTTAAGCAAACTCCTAGGACTACCCCACCCTCTTCTCCACACTATTTAATCCTTTCAACTCACTCTCTCTTACTTTATTCCCCTTTTACTTACACCTACTCACCTTTTACTCCATCTCTCTTACTTACCTTTTTCTAACGCCTGCTCACTTTTTTTCAAAGTTTCATATAAACAAGAGTCTACGATAAGTGAGTCAAACTTTGAGGAACCAAGGGGAGTACACCGCCTAATAGTTTTGTTGTAAACTAGTCAAAATTAGATCAAACCACCACCTAGATGCTCTTTTACTTTCTCTTTATAAGTGCTACGAAAATCAATGCTTTCACTCCATAGCTTGACAAATACATACTTTTTAGCGGGAGTTAAAGCCACGTTGTTATCAAACTCTGCTTCAATTGTTTGATTTAACAATAGTTTATACCCCTCTATCCCAAAACAATAGGCGACATTGTTTAAGAAATTTAGTTTAGATATCATAACTTCCTTCAGTAATTACGCATTTTCTATACCATATCAAAAATAGTATTTCCTTAGAATTCTTATTTAAGGGTAACATTAAACAACAAAGGAGAGTACAAAGTTTATTTTTCTAAACCTAATAAATGGCATATCTTTTGGGAAAATAAGTATCACTCCTACATTTGATACATATTAAGGCATAGTATGTAGGCAATGTAGCTATAGTTTCCTGGGTCGAAAACCGGCATTGATTATAATAATGTTCACCCAAGTAAACAAGAATTCTAATATGCCCAACAAAGATTTATGATTAAATCTATTAACATAAATTTGATATTCCCAAATTATGAAATATCAATTTTGATACATACACTGATACACACCACATTCAAGCAACCCAAAAAACAAAAACAAAAAAAAGCCCAACACTCTAAGCCAATTGAGTTGGGTAAGATGATAAAGTTACCTAACAGTGACGGCTAAAACAGAATCACCTTCAGCAATCAAATTGTAAACAATCCACATATCATCAGCTTCTTCTGGTATCATCTGTTCGCCAAAAATTGGACATTGCATGAATTCAATTTTAACAGCAAAATAAAATTGAACTGATCAATCACAAATTCATCAACAACAGCAATCAAAATCCTTATAATTAATCACCTTGACACTGCCAGGGCCGCCGCGAACGAAATCTCTACGTACGATCTTCATAAAGATGATTTGATTTGATTTAATTTAATTTAATTTTCTCTCTCCTCCTTTCGATTAATTAGGGTTTAGGGAGGAGGAGAAAACAGAGAGATTTGGAATTGCAGAAACAGAGTTGAGAGCAAGAGGATGAAAGCCCGAGTTCTCCCTTAGTTTGAAAGTCCGGATCCTCTAATTTTTTCTCTCTCCTTCCCAACAAAGTTGGGATATTTATTAGCTTAGGTTTGGTATTATTCTGTACTTTCCTTAGAGGTGACAAAGGATTTGGTCTTACGAATATGTAAGGGATAAACAAATTAGATTCTATTCTTTTGAGCTTCTAAGCATGACAGAGCAGAGTAGAGTATAACAGAGCAGAGCAATTCAAAAAAATAGGGCCTTAAAGAAGAAATAATCTTTAACAAATTTTTAAGCACTAAGGGGGTGTTTGGGGTACATGGGATTATGATTTTATGAGGTGGGAATAGGATTATTAATCCCAAGTCTTCATAAACCCATGTTTGTTTGATGGGAATCAGATTTTTTTTTTTTTTCTTTTTAGGCATGATGGGAATTAGATTAGGGAGTAGGAATAAGCATGAGATTATTTATCCTCTATTCCCAACATTTAATTATCAAGGGGATGTAGATAATAAAATGACGGGAATTATCTAGTTAAGTAAAATACATAATTACCCTCAATTTAGTTATGCATATCAAATTTGAGATTTAAAACAAGGATAAAATAGTAAATTTAGTCTTTAATCCTAATTCTATTCCCACTTATATGCCAAACTTCCCACCTATATGCCAAACAAGAGATTGGGAATATTAGGTAAATTCTCACTTATCAATTCTCATTCCCACTTCCACTTTATATTCCCCAAATTCCCATTACCACATGCCAAACGCCCCTAAAGTCTATTTCCCTACCTTTTAAAAAGTATGAGAAAACACTTATAAATAGTGTGAGGGCAATTATATCCTTAGAATGTTTGTTTACCTATATACCCCTATTAATATGATGTTAATTGCCTCTAAGTATTTCTTTGTGTGATTTAATGATTTTTTTTCTTATGAATAGTGTTTGGACAATTATACACTCTAAAATGTTTGTTTACTTATATGCCCTCTTTAATATTAATTGCTTTTTTGTGAACTCTAATGAATAGTGTGCGAACATTTTTACCCCTAAATTTATTTATGTATTTTACACATTTTCCCTCATTATGTTGCCTACAACTGAAAGAGCCTTCGGACATGGCTAGCTATGGTGCGCGCATCCAGGGGCGGACCCACCTTTAGTCATAGTGGGTCCGGTGACACAGTATTTTTTTAAAAAATAAAATATCAAAGAGACCCCTTATTATAGATAGGTGGTCTCTTTGATGCTGCTATTGGTAACAACAAACAATATTAAAGAGACCTCTTATTAAGATAGGCGATCTCTTTAATGCTACTATTGCTACAAAAGACTTGTTGTGGTTTTTTTTTTAAATATTAAAGAGACCTGTTATTTATATAAGAGGTCTCTTTGATGCTGCTATTGTATTTCGCAATTTTTTTGCGCTACTTTCTTTTTTCATTAAAGAGACCAGTTATATTCAATAACTGGTCTCTTAAGTTATCTCACTTTTTTTGTATAATTTTTTAATAATTTTTTTCCCTTTTTTATATCTTATATTTGTACAACCAATTTTAATATTTCCCCATAAAGCTTATCAATTAACTAAAAAATCATAAAGTTAATTCAATATAATAATTTTATTGTACCATTTGTTTATAACATGTTATTTGTAATATTTTCGACTTGTAAAATTGAATTCTTAAGTACTGTATTTGGTTTTGTATGAATTTTTGTGTCCTATTTTTGGATTGAAATCAATTTGGTGAAATATATATATATATATATGAAATGGGATCATGTGAGAACCCAAGGCTTAGGTGAGAACCAATATAAAATGAGAACCAATCTAAGACCATTCATTTTTATTAGATGAATGGTTCAGATTTATTAGTAACTATAGTGGGAATTCACGTGGGCCAGCTTGAAAAGGTAATGATTGTTTGTAATTTTTTTTTTTTAGGTGCATTGGAAGACGTTGTATTCCATTGGAATACATTATGGGTCAGTCATTGGAAGACGTTATCTCATCCATTGGAATAGATTCAGCCATTGGAATACATTATCAAAGGTTAGAGCTCAATTTTTTTTTTTTTTTCTGTAGTTATATTAAGCATGGATTTGTCTGTTGAATTTGGTACGTCTAATGTTCTTCATGCTTTTACCCCTGGTGGAACGAAGATATGGATTCCATGTTGTGATAGTGAAATTAGACCAACTATAGGTATGAAATTTTCAAAACTTGATGAAGGTTTGCGTTTTTATGAGTCCTACGCAGCTGTTGTAGGATTTATTACTAGAAAGTCGACGGTCAAAAAAAGAAAAAATGGTATTATTTCTTTTCAAATTATTGTATGTAATAAAGCTGGGTTTAAAGAAAAACGAAATAATGTGGTGACAGAGAAAGTTGATAGTATCGGGGAAGAAGATGATAATTTTGTAGATGATATGAATGTTGAAGAAGTGGTTGTTGGTCAAGATAAAGAAGACTATGATTGTCAAGAAGCGAATACTCCTATGGTTAAAAGAAGATTGTCTACTCGAGTTGGTTGTAAGGCAAAGATGATTTTAAAGTATTGCGAAGATGGAGGTTACATTGTTTCTAATTTTGAAGAAGGGCATACTCATCATATGTATTCATCCGAGAACTCTCATTTTCAGAAGTCCAAAAGAAAGCTGACAATGTTTCATAAGAAAATGATAATTGATAATTCAAAGGTATTTGAATATGGTTTTGTTTAAAATGATTAAATTTTAAATGTGAAGTAACAATTGTGTACATATATGGAACATTGTCACTGTAATATGAAATATATATTGTTTTGGATGGAACAATCGTATTTGAATATGGTTTTGTTTAAAATGATTAAATTTTAAATGTGAAGTAACAATTGTGTACATATATGAAACATTAGTACTGTAATATGAAATATATATTGTTTTTGATGGAACAATTGTTTGTAATGTATATACTCAAGTAGGTGTAAGTACAACTGTATGGAACAATGGTTTTAATAAATGAAACAATATTACGTATAATTGAAACATAGTTGGAGCGATTGGTTGTAAAGGTTTAAAATTATTTCGTTATTATAACAAATGTAACAATAGGGTAATGCGTAGGAACAGTAGGTCAGATATATGGAACAATAAAGTGCATTTTTGGAACAGGTGGTCAGATATATGGAACAATAAAGTGCATTTTTGTTTCATATAATATGTCATCATCGAATTTCGCACTATCCATCAAGAATAACGTGTACCGTTATTTGTTATTGAATGTGTGCCTTTTTGTTTTTTGTTCACATCTATATTTAGAATCTTTGAAATCTTTTTTGCCTTTTTTTCATAAAATTAAATATGCACTGTTAGATCTGTTTCCATATATATCATGGTCCTTAAACAGTCTAGTCTTTTTACATTCTGTCTCCACAGGTGAATATTGGTCCTGTCAAGACATACAGAATGGTGAAGGAATATGTTGGTGGGTATGAGAATATAGGCGCTAGTAGGAATGACTTCAAAAATTTTCATAGAGATTTGAAGGCGTATATTGAAGGATCGGACGCCCAGATGTTTGTTGATAATTTTAAGAGGAAAAAGTTGATGTGGTCGGCTTATTTTTTTTATTACGAAATGGATGAAGACGACTGTCTATGTAGAGCTTTATGGGCAGATCCTATTTGCCGAAGAAATTATGCCGTATTTGGTGATATGCTCTCGTTTGATACAACCTACCAAAGCAACAGGTATCATAGTGTTATTTTTAAAGTTTTTTGAATTTTTTTTTTGGGTTTTACAATTTGATGTAACATTTGTTTTAATTTTCGTAACATTGGAATAATATTACGAAACAGTAGACATAAATATGGAATCGTAATTTCAGCGTATGTTTCATGTTTTCCAGATATAATATGGTATTTGGTCCATTCACGGGAGTCGATCACCACAAGAAATGTGTCACTTTTGCTGCTGGTTTTATTGCAAAGGAAGATGTTGCTTCATTCGAATGGCTATTTAGAACATTTGTTAAGGCAATGGGTGGTAAGGAGCCCAATTGTTTAATTACGGATCAAGATCCAGCTATGAAAATTGCTGTAAATTCTGTTTTCCAACAATGTGAGCACAGGTATTTATTTTATTGTACTGCAACTAGAATAATTCATTTGTGAATACTATTATTTCAAAATATGTGTCTGATGTTTCATATTAGTTTATTCATGTTTCCAGCTGTTGTTATGATGTTAAATATTATTGTTTCAAATTTATTGGTTCAGATTAGTATTTATTTTATTGCATTGCGACTAGAATGATTCATTTGTGAATACTATTGTTTCATATTATTGTTTCAAATTAACGATGTTAAATATTATTGTTAAAAAAAAAATTCTTGTTCCTAAATAGTGTTTTATTGTTTCAAATTTATGTTCTCATGTTCCATTAGGTTAATCAATTGTTACGAGAATTTGCCTAATTACTCCAATTATTTTTTTTATTATTTCAAATCTTCAAGATAATGTTCCGGAATTTTACTACAATGTTACAGTATTAAAAGCTAATGTTCCTAAATAGTGGTCTAATGTCCCATAATTAATGTCATTGATTCATTTGTGAATACTATTGTTTCAAAATACGTGTCTGATGTTTCATATTAGTTGATTGATGTTTCCAGCTGTTGTGATGATGTTAAATATTATTATTCTGAATTTTTTTTAAAAAAAAAAACATTGTTCCTATATAGTGTTTTATTGTTTCAAATTTATGTTCTGACGTTCCATTAGGTTAATCAATTGTTACGAGAATTCGCCTAGTTATTCCAATTATTTATTTTATTATTTCAAATCTTCAAGATGATGTTCCGGAATTTTACTATAATGTTACAGTTTTAAAAGATAATGTTTCAAAATAGTGGTCTAATGTCCCATAATTAATGTCCTTCAGATTTTGTATGTGGCACATAATGAAAAAGCTGCCTGATAAAGTTGGAAGGAATATCATTCAGGATACTGAATTTTTGAAGGAACTCAGTAAGTGTGTTTGTAATTTAGAAATTGAGGCACCTGAATTTGAAGAGAAGTGGAACAATGTTCTTGTTGAGTTTAAATTACAAGATCATGATTGGTTGAATTTGATGTTTGAGATGAGAGCTATGTGGATTCCAGCGTATTTTAGAGATGTCTTTATGGGTGGTATTATGAGAACTACCTCAAGGTAAGAGAGTGAGAATAATTTTTTTACATCCGTTGTAAATCCTCACGTGTCTCTTGTGGAGTTTTTCATGAGGTATGAAACTGCGTTGGATGCACAGAGACATTGTCAGGCAGAGAATGACAATGAATCACAGGAGAAATTCCCTCAATGTAAGACAGAATTGTTGATTGAGAGGCATGGTTCTGAGGTGTACACCGTTTCTGTATTTTATAAATTTCAAGATGAAGTTCATAGTGCTTTTTATTGTTGTGGTGTAGATGAATTGAGGAAGGAAGATGGTATTGATGTAGCAATTGTTACTGAGGCAAATAGGAGAAGGAAATTTAAAGTTTTATTTGAGTGTTTTAGTCATGACACTACCTGCTCTTGTAAGAAGTTTTATAGGATAGGAATCCCATGCAGACATATGATATGGATGTGGAAGGCAAAGAATTTAAAAAGCATTCCAAAGCAATATATCTTAGATCGTTGGACAATAAATGCTACTCAGAAACCAGTGTTAGATATAAGTTGTTTAGACACCGAAGATGATAGGCGGGTGGTTATAAATGAAATGTGGTCGGAGATATTTTCTTGTGTGAGTTGGGTTAAAGGCCATGAGGAGGACTTTATTAAGAATATTCGAGAGTTCAAGAATATAATTGAAGCGACAAAAAATGTTACTTTGGAAGATACTCAGAATGTAAGATCTAGTGAACATGATATTGAGATGTTAATAGGATGTAGCATTCCTGATGAAATACTTGTTCAGCCTCCTAAAGTGTCGAAGAATAAAGGTACAGGTGTTCACGATGGCTCTGGAACTAGTGGGTCTAAAAGATTAAAGGGTGCCAAAGAAATAGCGGTTGAACAATCTAAAAAGAAAACGAAGAGGAAATGCAGTGGCTGTGGCGAGCTAGCATATCATGATATTCGGAATTGTCCTCACAAAGCATGATGATTTGTGCAGCTGTTGTTCCTTCTTATGGGAATGTTTTACTCATTTTTATGTTTGTTGTAATGGAACAATTAGTTACATTTGAGAAACATAAGTTTTAATATATGTTACATCAGTTTTGAGAAGCATCAGTTTTAAGAAACACTAGTTCTAATATATGTAACAATTGTTTCATTTATGGGAACAGTAAGAACATTCCCTGAAACATTAAGATTCGTTTTAGCATGTTTTATATAAAAAAGTTACGGAGTATATAATATTTTTCACAAAGTGTGCAAATTGATTTTATGTGGCAGCGTGTATTGATTTAACTAGTCATGGCAGCGTGTATTGATTTGACTAGCCATCTTTTTTTAAAAGTACTGGTGTGGTATTGTTGCTTTGGGAACATATTTATTGTAAAGTTTAAAAGCAACCTTACACTTGTCAGTTTCATGTGGAAACGTGTTCAGTTGTGACAGTGCATGGTTTAAATTTATTTCTTACCGTTGACAATGCATGTTGTTTCATGTTGTTTCATATTGTTTCATATTACGTTACCGTTGTTTTATTTTATCTATTTATAGTTTCATTTAATAATTCTAATTATGGGAAAATAATCCAGAACATGTTTAGCTAAACCTATAATCACATTGTTTCATATTACCTAGCTGTTGTTTCATTTTATATATTTAAAGTTTCATTTAATACTTCTAATGTGTCATATTAATAGTTCACAATTGAAAATAATATACGCACATCTTTACATACGAAACATAAAAAGATGTTTAGCTAAATTATCCAGGACATGCATAAAAATTATGTATCTTACAACTAATGTGGAAACATTATAAACATTGTTTACTGATTAACATGACGAAGTTGCTCTAATGCCCAGGTCTTTGATTTGGCTATAACTTCATCTTGTAGTACGTTTGTAGGGCTTGTCAATATTTTCCCACAATACTCAATCCTCAGCTTCTTCATTATATCAGGCTGAAATATATTAACAATTCAAAATAAATACCGGAACAATGAACCATAAATTATGTATAAATTAATATAAGAATTACACAAAAACTCACATCTTTTGGGTCGAATCCAATATCCCAACATTCATCTAGCTGCCCCATGTAAGTTTCCATGTGTTTGAGAGCGTATACACCGCAGTCATTATAATTCTCATTATTCTTCCATCTCATTTCCTTCATAGTGGTATTGAATCTAGACACTCCCCGTCCATTCCCAACTTTCTTTTCATTTAGAAATTTAGCAAATGCCTTGATCTGTGTAATATGAAACAATTAGATGTACCAAGGAACAATGGCACAACAAATATATACAATGAAACAATTGATATATAATATGAAACAACGTAAATGAAAAATGAAACATCAGATGTATGAATATGAAATCACATATTATATGTACAATGAAACCTATTTAATTTAATATGAATCAGCAGTAATGAAAAAATGGAACATCAAATGTATTATTTGAAACCATATATATATATTGAAACAAATTCTATATAATCAGAAACACCAGAAATCAACAATGAAACACCAGATATACTAATTGAAACATCAAAAAATAAAAAATGGAATACCAGTGATGTTTAGTGAAACAGTGTCATATTTTTACCATGGTAGTTGGGAAATTGCCGTACTTTGCATCCATTTCAACACCTTCTTCTAGAAATCTGTTGTCTATAATTTGCAGTTGCTTGCGTGAAAAATTGAAACAGAACAGATAATAGTGGTCAAATGCTGGGACGAGAAAGAAAACCTATAATGAAACAATAAGTAAGTTATATGTAACATTAAGTAAGTCTTTTAAGCAAATATATATGCTAAGAATCAGTACTAGTTTAGTATCTAACCAAATCTACTTTGTCAAAAGAAGTTATTTTAGAATGATTCATCTCGTCCACCATCCTGCTCTTGAAAGCGTTGTATCTCTCTGCAAACTTGGTATTTGGCGTAAAGTACTTGTTACCGCACAACATATTCTGTTTTTTCCCGGGTAATTAATCATTGTTGTAGTTGTTAGTGTATCAGGAATATTATAATGTATCAATACTATAAAACTGAAGTATTTTATACGGAGCATAATATATTAAAAATGAAACATTGGCACTATATAGTGGAACACTGGCACTATATAGTGAAACATTGGCACTATATACAAAGAAACAATTGATATATAATATGAAACAACATAAATGAAAAATGAAACATCAAATGTATGAAACATTGGCACTATATAGTCAAACATTGGCACTATGAAATGAAACAGCGTAAATGAAAAATGAAACATCAGATGTATGAAACATTGGCACTATGTAGTGAAACATTGGCAATGTATACAATGAAACATATTGTATGTACAATGAAATATATTTAATTTAATATGAAACAAAAGTAATGAAAAATGGAACAATATGTTAATGAAACAAATTATATGATAAATGAAACATTAGAACTTAAAATTGAAACTGTAAAATAATTTTAGACATAATTACCCAACATTCAGAGGAGCAGAAAAAACAGTTGATAGCGCCTGGTTGCCTTCTTTTGTTTGCCATGTTAAGGATGTGGCCCCAGGAGTCTATTATATTGTTGACCACATGGTTGTCACCTTGTAGTCCTAAAATGTCTTCCCTACTGATGAAGTTAAGCCCGTCATTGTACAACTGCTCACTGAAATTGATGGGACAGGAAAACAAATTAATGAAACAATATGTATATAATATGAAACAATGTAATATTGTATATAATATGAAACAATATGTATATAATATGAGACAAAGCATTCCAGGAAATTCTCACGATTTTGGGCCTGCACAAAAGGCATATTCGGCGGCTGTTCTTTGTAGGGCATCAATTTTTGCTGAAATTTTTTCATTCTGCACCATGAATGGGGATCGAAGGTGCACAAGAAGATTTTGTGTGATTCTTTTTTCTCTTTGCAAACCAGTCACTGGCTCCTCAGAATGTTGCATTGTTATCTTATGAACGATGGATTCAGTGAGTGACTCCAAGTGCTGCTCCGTTGGAGATTCTTCCTGCTCTGGTGACTTTCCTTTTGCTGGGGGTGTTGGAGGCAACGCCTGTGAACCTACAAATAGATTATAGTTTGGCTGGAATTCAAATAATGGAACAATGTCATGAACGAAATCATTGTGGGGTGTAGCTTGTGGGGGTACAACATTCTCAGGGGGGGTTCATCTTGTTGTTCATCTTGTGGGGCCTGAAAATTTGCCCATGCTTTGTTCATCACATCACTGAGCTCAGATAAAAACGCTGGCTCATGAAATAAGTTCTCATCTTGAGATAGAAAACCCGGGGTGTTGATTCCTTGGGAACTCATAGTGGGTTGTACTGATGTGTACTTGCCCCATACATTTCTTATGAGCTCCTTCATCTCATCTGGGATCTCCACCTCCTCAATCAATTTGTATACCTTGTCAATCAGTGCATAAATTGACTGGACATGGCCAGTAAGTTCCTTGGAAATGTTGTTGAATTCATCAAGTATAAATCCCTATAACAAACCAACAATAGCATGTGGCCAATATGAAACATCAGATTTATTATATGAAACAGCGTATACAAAACATTAAACACCCGAAATGTATGAAGCAATAGGTATATAAAATGAAACGATAGGCATATAAAATGAATCAACATACATCTAAATCATATACATTATTTTGAACCAACAATAATATGTAATGAAACAAATTATATTTAATATGAAACAATGAAACATCATGTATATTAATTGTCATGTTTTTTTGTTTTTCTTTTTTTTTTTACCTTAACATCTTCAGGAGCAGAGGACGACGAAGGCCCTTGATTTTCTTCACCAGAATTTGTGTTTATAGCAGTTAACCTGTCGAGGACTTTACCTTGTACAAATCCTCTCTTCTTCTCCACCTTCATTCGTTCTTGTATCATCTGCTTGTTCCAAACGGCTATTAGGGGTATTGTCCTTCGTGGTTGAGCTGTACCACGCTTCAGTCTATCAAAGTACATAACCTGTTTGAGCAAGTATGAAAAATTGTTGGTTGACATTTTGAAACAACAGGCATATAAAATGAAACAGAACATACATTTGATATCACATATTTTGAATATATGTTGTTACATATTTAACATATGGTGTTTCATTTTATAATAAATGTGATTTCAAATGTATGTTCTGTTTCACAATAAAATGAAACACCATCTGTTAAATATGTAACAACCGTTATATGAAACAACAGTAATATGTAATGAAACAAATGACATATAATGTGAAACAACATAAGTCACAATGAAACATCGATATATGAAACAACAGTAATATGTAATGAAACAAATGGCATATAATGTGAAACAGCATAAGTAACAATGAAACATCAGGTATATATATGATGTTCCATTTTATATGCCAACTGTTTCATATTTTAAACCAACATTTTTCTACATTTTAAACAGGTTATGTACTTTGACAGAAGATATCAAAGTACAAATATTACCAGTTCGTTTATCATATGTAACAACAAATAAACAATATGAAACAGTTGGTTTTAAATATGAATATGTAACAACAGACGTTTATTATGAAACTGCATATTTATTATAAGAAACATAATATATTTAACATGAAACAACTTACATAAAATATGAAACAGCTAATAGTAATGCAAGTACTCAAATTAACAGTGTAACAGTAAGGATTATTTTAGTAACATTGTAATTCTTCAGTGAAACAGTTTATTTAGATTCTGAAACAATATCTGAATTCCAGATCTGAATTCCAGCATCTGCACAACTTTATGAAACAACTTACATAAAATATGAAATAGCTAATAGTAAAGCAAGTACTCAAATTAACAGTGTAACAGTAAGGATTATTTTAGTAACATTGTAGTTATTCAGTGAAACAGTTTATTAGGATTCTGAAACAATATCTGAATTCCAGTATCTGAACAAGTTACGTAAGCAACTTACATTGTGTTGCTAATACTGAAA